ATTGGCGGGCACAGAAGAATTTCATGAAACAGCGTATGATCAAGAGCCTGTGGTGATGAAGGAAGAAGGTTAAGCTGCTCTGAAAGAACTGGCAAAAAAACAAGGCCCCAGGATTTAATAGTATACCAATTGATATATTTCAACAAATAGATGCTGCCTTAGATGTGCTGACCAAGTTGTGCCAAGAAATCTGAAGGACAGCCACTTGGCCAATGGACTGGAAGAGATCTATTATTTGTTCCCATTCGAAAGAAGGGTGACCCAACAGAGTGTGAAAATTATAAAAAAATATAATTGATTTCACATGTAAGCTAGATTCTGCTGAAGATTATCCAAAAATAACTGGAACAGCACATTAGTAGAGAACTGCCAGAAGTGAAGACTGGGTTTAGAAGAGGTTGTGGTACTAGGGATATTGTAGCTAATGTTAGATGGCTCTTGGCTGAAAGCAGGGAGTACCAGAAGAATATATATCTGTGTTTCATTGACTATGCAAAGGCAATTGACTTTGTGGACCACATGTGGCTGACTCTGAGAAGAATGGGAATCCCAGAACACTTGATTGTGCTTATGTGAAACCTATAATTGGACCAGGAGGCAAGTTATCAGAATAAAGTGAGGGAACACTGCATGGTTCAAAATTGGGAAGGGTGTATGCCAGGGAAGTGTCCTATCTACATACCTTTTCAATCTATATGCAGAACAGATTATCCAGGAGACTGGGCTGTATGAGGAGAAATGTGGTATCAGGATTGGAGGAAGACCCATCAACAATCTGCGTTATACAGATAACACAACCCTGCTTGCTGAAACTGGGGAAGACCTGAACGGCTTGCTGCAGAAGATCAAGGACTGCAGTCTTCAATATGGATTGAAGCTCAATACTAAGAAAACAAATATTCTCACCACTGGGCCAACTGGTAGCATCAGGATGGTTGGGGAAGAGATTGAGATTGTTCACAGCTTTAGTTTGATTGGCTCCATGGTCAACACTCTTGGCACAAGCAGCCAGGAAATTAAAAAGCGTGTTGTGATGGGAAAACCTGCAGTTAAAGACCTCTCTGAGCAAAAATGTCAGTCTGGAGACTAAGGTGCACCTGATAAAGGCCATGGTCTTTAAAATCACTTGTTATGTGTCAGAGAGCTGGACAATGACTAGGGATGATAGAAGGAGAATTGATGTCTTTGAGCTGTGGTGTTGGAGAAGAGTAGTGAATATACTGTGGACTGCTAAGAGAAGAAAAAGGTTCATCCTGGAGAGAGTTAAACCAGGCTGCTCCTTGGAGGCAAGGATTCTGAAGCTTCATATGACATACTTTGGACTTGTTGCAAGAAAGACCAGTCCTTGGGAAGGCAGAAGGACAGCACAAGAGAGGAAGACCCTTGATGAGATGGATTGAGTCAGTGAGTGGGGTAATGAGGATAGGTGTGTCAGAGACAGTAAGATTGGCACAGGATAGAGCAGGATTTAGGGCTGTTGTACATAGGGTGACTGAGTTGCAGGTGACTTCACAGCACATACCACCACGACCACCACCACCACTTCAGAATGAGATACAACTCATTACCAATGATTAGATTTTGAGTCACAGCATCTCTCTTTTCTGTTTCTAAGGCTGGAAATCTTAGCAGGTTGTTGCTGTTATGTGCTGCTGAGTCAACTATGACAGGTTGTTGTTGTTAGGTGCTGTCAAGTAGAATACCACTCAAAATACCCTATGAACAACTGATCTGAACCCTGTTCTATCTTGTTCCATCGTCACACTTCCTGACACACTAGAGCCCCTTGCGGCAGTGTGTCAGGGTTGTATTCTCTCTATATACCTATTTAATCCATATGCTGAGCAAATTATTCGAGAAACCGGAGTCTACAAAGAGGAATGTGGCTCAGAAACAGCCTATATTCCTCTTACCAAGCTGCTAGTGAATTCAAACCAAACTGCTGGAGTTGTGCAGCATTTTGATCAGTGACACACATGCTTATAGCCTACACCACTAGAGCTCCTTCAGAATGTGGCTGTGCTGCTTAAATCCTGGTGAACAGAAGACCTCTTTGATCGTATGTTGTTGAATAATATATATTAAAACTTAGCACCAAGAACTACTCAGATGACAGAACCACATACATTTAAAACATAGAAATTATTTCAAAGGCAAAATGAAACAGTGATACCTTAACCACTGTATGTGTGTGTATAATGCTATTATATATATAAATTATACACTTTTATGACTCAGTGGCACTTAACAACAACAACAACGAGAGAACTCAGTGGGCCTAGTGGACAGAAAGTGATGCTACCAAGCCAGAGGTGGGTGATTTTAACCTGCAGCCCTCAGACCTGGTTTTAATTGTTTTGGTCAAACATTCTTCTAAGCGGTATAGCATTGGTCTGTCCATTTGCTGTACAAAGGTAACTTGTGGTTGCTGTGATGCTAAACACTGTGACAGTAATGTGTCAAATGCGAGAATTGTTACCCATAGTGGACAGTGTTTGGTGGAGCTCTCCGATTAAAACAAGCTTGGAAGCAGGAGTGGCATTCACTTCCCAAATAGCTTGCCTCCGAAAACTCTATGAACTTGGAGAAATGAAGAAAGTTATATGAGTGTTGGTTGCTATGAGCTGTCTACAACTCTACAGCACTTAACAAAAACAACAACAATAACATAAATATTCTATGTATTTCACTCTTCAAGGGTGTTCTGGTGGCGCAGCCCACAGAAAGTTGCACTGTTAACACAATACTCTCTTGAGATTCAAATCCACTAGTGGCCCCACAGAAGATAAATGGGCACTTTGAAATCCATCAAAGGGTCAGCTATGAGTAGGTTCTGACTTGATGAAAATGAGTGATTGTTTTCATGAAGTTCAAATTTCCAACACTAGAATAATAACTAAGAGTTAAAATACACACACCTACAATAATAAGTTTAAACTCTGCCAGTGTGGAAGCCTTAATGAGTATTATATATTTTGACTGATTTTGTATGACAATATTGAGTCACAATATTATATGAAAAATCAATGGGCGTGGTTTCTTCACAGAGTTTGACTCCAACAATCATTGCACATCCACCCACGACCAGAGAAGCACTTAGGAGACTCTGCTTCGCAGTCAAGTAGACCAGGGCCTGACTTCCAGCTTGAACTTACCGGTAAATTCAAGCATTGTGAGCCTTCGTTCCAAATGTAGATAATACTTGTCTTATGGTTATGACTTCAAGGTAGGTTGTTTTTATATGCCCTTGAGTCAGAACTGACTCACAGCTGACCCTCCATTGAGTTTTCAGGGTCTGTAAACTGTACAGGCCTATTTTTCTCCTGTAGAGCCACTGGTGGACATGAACTCTCTGCCTTTGGGTTGGTAATGCAATGCCTTACCTATTAGGCCATGAGAACAAACTAGACACAGCATGGGGTTCTGGCATTTACTAAGAGAGCCTGGGCAATAAAAAAATCAGAATGAGCTTTGACTAGCTGAGTATACAAAGTGGTTGGAACACCTTGTCTGCAGCCAAATATTGGTTATTAGTCTTTCTAGATCTCTGAGTGGTGCAAACCATTTGCTTTAAAATACTAATGTAAACACTAACCTGAAGGTTGCTTGTTCAAATCCACCCAGAAGAAAGAAAAATCCACTGCTTCTGTGTCAGTTAGACTCCTTTTTTTTTCTCTGTTAGACTTCTAAAGCTGTAAATCTTTAGGAAAGGGGACTGCCCACATTGCTTTTTTGCAGGAGCTGGTGGATTCAACTGTTAGCCTTTCTACTAGCAGCCAAACACTGCACACTCTCCCTTCTAAGGGCTCATTAGAAGAAGAAAAATAACAAAACAAAGGCCTTGCAAATCTTCTCTTGTAAAGGCTGTTGCTATTGGCAGTTACTGTCAATGCTATCTCATGATGACCTCATATATTACAAAGATTCCTCCAAACCAAACCTACTGCTATAGACTACTTCAGACCTAATGCTATGCCAACTCAAGGTGACTCCTGACTGCCTTATGGAGTTTCCAAGGTTGTACATTCTTATAGATGGTTATTAGCAAATCTCCCCTCAGAGCAGCTGGTAGGTTTCAAGCATCATCCTTTCAGTATTGACTCAGCACTTTATCCAAAGCCTCATTGTTAATAGAGCTGATAGGCTGTCATGTTAGACTGATCTCACAGGAAATGCACAGTGGAGATTCTAAGGATAGTGTAGAATTAGATAAGGTTTCCATCTGCTGGACACAGGGTCGCCACGAGTTGACGTGGATTTGATGGCACCTAACAATAAAGGCAACACTCTTCAAGAAAACCTTATAGAACAATTCTGGTCTATAATTCACGTAGCCACCATGAGTTGCAATCAAGTGCAGCAAATTTTGGGTTTTATTAATTGAGATTTATACATTTTAATGAGTAGGGAAGCCCAAGATCCTGAGATCAACCATACAGTATATGTTCTTAGAGCTTCATTTGTTACTCTGTATGTGTGTGTATGTTTGGAGAAGAGGGGTTTGGTTGGAGATCACTTTTGTTTTAACTCTAATTTATCCTCATACTAAACTAGTTTTGTCACAAACAAAATGATACCCTATCTCCTGAGGCAATATGAAACAACTTCAACAGATAGTGACCCTAAGTACAACAGGATGGAACCCTGCCCCATCCAGAACCATCCTTACAACCTCTGCTGGGCTCAACACCAGTGTGGCAGTGCTGCAGTCAATGCACCTCACTGAGGATCTTTCTGTCTTTTGCTGACCCTCCGCTGCTACAAACATACAAATATTCATCATTGTCAAGTGATTCCAGTTCAAAGCAACCGTCCATTGGGTTTCCAAAGTTGTACATCAGAATGGGAGGAGACTCCATTTTCCTCTCTAGGAGTAACTGATGGATTCAAGCCACTGGACACACACAGCCTTTGGATGTATAGTGCAACTCTCTTGGGTCTAGGCCCTGCGGCTCCCCTTCAAGCACACATAGTTAATTTAAATGTACTCTACTTCTTACCTTTTCAATTTTTTCATCCAGCATTCTGAAGAATTCTTGTTGGCTTTCAGAGATATGCATGCTGAAAAACAAAGAGCAGGTAAGTGCATATTTCATTGTTTTCTATGCTGAGACCCTAATCTCAAGGGCAGACATTTATTGCAGACTTTCCTACTGGGATGCTCTGGAGTTATTTTAGGGATAAATGTCATTATGGTACTCCTACAAACGTGTTTCATAATAGTCTATCAGCGCCTGTGATTTAAGGAATACTATTTCCTTTCAATGCACAGATGTTATTTATAGTAACACTACTGGGGTGTGTGTGCCAATTTTTTTCTTCAGACACACATTTGTGACTAAGGAAAAAAAGCGGCACAGGCAAGCAGCCCATGACATATTTCAACCCTGCGTGACACTATAAAAAGAAAGCATACACTGTTTCTTATAATGAAAAGTGTGTTTTACAAAGGTTGTCAGCATCAGCGTAATATTCAGCTAAGTGGAGAGGTGGAGGCTGGTGGCAAATGAGCTGAGACCGTACTGACTACTTGATGAGCCCTGCACTGGCAACGGTAACTCGCCTCGTTGAAATTGGAGTCTGAGTGAATTTAGAAGCGTGTCTGAGTAGCAGTGGCCCAGTCCTTTTCTTGTCATAGACTACTTGGCAAGGAGCTCAGGTGACAGACACAGTGGTTTAGGCATTCATCTGCTAATTCAAAAAGTCAGCAGTATGAACCCACTAGCTGCTCGACAAGAGAAAGATGAGACAGTCAGCTTCCATACTGACAGCCCTGGAAACTGTGTGGGGAAGTTCTACTCGGTCCTACATGGAAACACTATGGGGAATTTCTACTCAATTTTACATGGTTGATGAGTTGACTTTATGGCAAAAGGTTTTGGTGTACTTGGTGGCTCAATGGTTAAGGATTTACCCTTGAGTCAAAATGCTGGTGGTTCAAATCCATCTAGTGACTCTGTGGGACAAAGATTTGGTCATCTGATCCTTCATAGTCAAGAAACCACTAGGACATAGTCCTTCTACCTGTCCTACACAGTTGCTGTGAGTTGAAATCAATGCAGTGACATCTATCAACAACGACAACATGCCACTTGGTAGCATTCTTAGTCAGATGGTTGATAAAAGACAAAGCATCAGATGATGAATGAGCAGAGGCAGGAGAGGCATGTGGAGGATCATGCCTCCTTAATAGAAGATGTTCTTCCTAGAAAATAGACAAGAGTATTCCATGAAGGTTAATGATGCTGGAGAAAGAGATGTATTATGCTGATCTCTGTTAGTTACTCTACGTTTTCGTGAGTTGTAGCTTCTGGGGGCAGGTGGTGGGCTCTGGAATAATCTACATGTGTTGAGCATCCAAAGAACCCCCTGCCACAGAGTCCATTCTGACTCACATGACAGAGTAAAACTGCTCCTTTGGGTTTCCAAGGCTGTAAATCTTTATGTAATCAGACTGCCACACTTTTGTTCAGAGAGCGGTTGGTGGACTCAAACCAATGATGTTTTGGTCAGCAGGCCACAAGTGACCTCAGGCACTCAAGACTCTTCACAGAGAGCTGGTAGCAGGCCAAAAGTGACCCCAGGCGTTCAAGTCTCTTCACAGAGAGCTAGTCTGGGAGGAGACAGTCCTTGTATTTTTGAGGAATCTAGGAAGTTAATGACACAGACTTTGGTTGTAAAAAGAAAAGAATGAAAGTGCTGGATACCAGTAACTTTAACAATTTACAAAAAAGCACTTTCACAAATGTCATGTAAAGCTGGCATTCCTAGCTACTATCCTGTGGTTAAGGTAATGTCCTGTGTGGGAAAGACGCCATTCCTTGTGCAAGCAGAACTGCCCCGGAGAGTTTCCAAGGTTGTTAATCTTTATGAAAGCAGGCTGATGCTTCTTCCTCCCTCTTGCTCTGCACAGCTCTCCAAACTCATTACTCTCAAGTGGGAACTGACTCATAGCTGACCCTCCTCTGGCTTTCGGAGACTGTAAATCAGACTGGAGAAGACTGTCTGCCTTTAACCTGAGGAGCTCCTGTGGAGCTGCTGAGTTCAAACCACTGACTATTCAGGCCAGCAGGTGGGTGCTTTTGTCACTGTGCCACCACCACCAGTCATTGCTGACAAACAGTGGCCCTCCATCAGGTTTCCAGGGCTGTACATAACTATTTTTGAGATGAGAGTGCCTGTCTTTTCACTGCAGAGAACTGATGGAGTCAAGTCACCAGCTTCCTGATTAGCAGTCAGATACACTAGGAACTAAACCAACAGGGCTCATATTTAAGGACTACTGTGTGTTGCTCATTGCTGTTGAGTTGGAACAGGCTCATACTTGATCCTCTGAGGAAACTGATCATCTTTCTCCCATGGAGTAGCTAGTGGATTTGAACCATTTGCCTATGGGTTGACAGCTTAACTCTTTACCCTCTGGGCCACCAGAGCTCTTTATGTTAGGAGTACAGACCACAAGTGTAAACGTAAATTGAACTAGTCTCCTGGATAGACTACTCTGATGGTCTATGAAGATGGCTTGAGTTGGTTTCTTTCTGGCCTTATAAGCCAGTGGTGATTTTTTTTTTGGTGGTGGTTTTTGGTTGTGTTTTTTTTGGCCTACTTTTGAGCTTTCCCTGTACCATCTCTTCTTCTCAGTGAAGTTTTCAGTCCCTTTCAACTTCCTTACTAGTTGTAAATGACATAACCATGTTTGTAAAGAGCTATTTGTCTGTAGTTAGTATAAGCAGACTCCAGTGGAGAATCTGTGTCTTTCCCCATTTAACTGTCAAGAGTTTTGGCTACTCAGGCACCTTTGTGATATCCTTCCTGCTCTTGGCCTGGTCTTCACCACAGCTAGACAGAACATAGTTCTGGGTTCCAGGACCTCTTTAAAGTTCTAGAGAGCAAAGAAGCAATTTTAAAACACAAGGTATGCTTGACCGGTCCTTGGAGAGGGACACATCATGCTTGGGAGGGTGGAGGTACAGACAGTGCAGGAGGGGAAGGCCCCCTATGAGGTGGATTGATTCAGTGACTGGGGTAATCGGGATGAGTGTGTCAGAGAAAATGAGATTGGCACAGGACAGAGCAGAGTTTAGGGCTGTTGTACATAGGGTCATTATGAGTTGCAAGCGACTTGACAGCACATAACAACAGCAACAGCAACAGCAACAGCAACACACTTGACCTAAGCCGCAGTGTTTTCAACTGCTTCATATGCATGTGAAAGTTGGTCAATGAAGAAGGAAGCTCGCAGAAGAACTGTGGGTTGGGGAAAAATATTGAATAGAACAGATTGCTAAAAGAACAAGCAAATCTGTCTTGAAAGAAGTGCAGCCAAGGTGCTCCTTAGGCACAAAGATGATGTTGTCAAGGGTCAGTTCTTAGAGAAGGACATTGTGCTTGGAAAAGCAGAGGGTCAGCAAAGGAGAAGAACACCCTCAGTGAAATGGGCTGGCACAGTCACCTCAACGATAGGCTTAAGCACGGTGGCTGGGAGGCTGGCACAGGACTGGGCGAGAAGGTTTCCTTCTGTTGTATATGAGATTGCTATGGCTCCAACAGCACCAAACAACATCTTGTTTTCTTGGGAAATTTCAAGAAACCACATTTAAAAAAAGCCTTTGTGATGCTCATTGTGGACACTCTGCTATTAGGGTTTTCAGCACATATTTCTGTGAATCTAACAAGGACAGTAAGTATCTGCTAATTAACTGATAAAGCATTGTCTATTTACAATGGCCATGATTCATGACCTGTCACGGAGATAGCGCAGTGTGTGAACATGGGCAAGTCAAAGGGCTTCGGATTCTTTATACAGAAAACCAGCCGGATGGTCTCCAGCGTTAATTGCTGCTGTCTCAACTGCCATGAAACCCTTTGCATTTGTATCACAACATGAAGAAAGAAATGTTTCGTTAGGACCCATACACAGGCACATAACAAGCAGGAAAGTGGGTCCACTGTCCTGCAGTGTCTACAGTGATTGAGGATGTATTTACAAAAACTCGGGTGTCTGTAGAAGGAGTGTGAGCTCAGAGCACTGCAAATAAAACAAACTGAACAAAAGCATCACATCTAAATTTGCTACGACCAATTAAGCTGAGTCTGACTCATCATGCCTCTGTCCATAGGATTTCCAAGGCCATAAAATCTGTACAGAAACTGTTAGAGACAGTTACAGCCTCTGTCTCCTATGGAGCGAGTGGTGGGTCTGAACTGCCAACCTTGTGGTTAACAGCAGAACACTTTAACTACTGTACTAAAAGAGTTTCTGGACAAAAGCCACCAACATCACACTTAATTAGATAAGACAGTGTATTTTTAAACCCATCTTCACCCTGAACTAAGGACAACCTTACGTTTGGGTGGTGAGTAGAACAGTCAGAAAGTAAGCTTCCACTTTTACAGGTGAAAAAGGAACAAGTGTAACCACAGGAGGATGTCTGCTGCTGTCATCTGAGGCATTGCTCAGGTGGTGGTGTTATGGGCATTATGGACTGTTGAGTCAGAACTGACCAAAGCTGAAGAAAGTGGGTTTTCAAAGGTAAATTGCACAAGAGATGACTGCCCATCTTTTTTGTGTGAAGCAGTTGGTGGGTCCAAACTGCCTGCCTTTGGGTTTGTAGTGCAACTCCTTACCCACTAGCCCACCAGAGGTTCCTATTAATCCAGAACTGTTACCTGCTTTTTCTTAACCAAGGACAGTCTGAGTATCTCTGTATGCCTCTGATTCCTTTCATAATCTTACCAGGATGAGTTACTCAAAGATGGGTTCACCATTTTGAAATAACATACTTTGACTGTGTCAGGTGGAAAAGACTGAATGGAAGAGCAATTTTCTCTTTCAGATCAACTGGAGGTGTGGCAGCCACTGCTACAAAGGGCCTCTGCTCACTACCAGGTGTCTGGGGTCCTGGACACCATCTTAACTCGAGCACACTGCGGTCGAGTTGGTTCTGATCTCTAGCAGATCCTACAGCAGATTTTAAAGGCTGTCAATCATTCAAAAGGAGATGGCCAATCTTCTAGAAAGTGGCTGGTAAATGTGAATTGCCAAAGAAGTGCAGCCTTTG